GTTTTTACTACTGCTTCACTACCCACTCAATCCTCAGCAATCACAACTATGCCCCCACCTGTCCGGGTAACTCTAACAGTCTTACTTATGTTACATCCAACAGGAATCCCCTATCTTTTCCCTCTGTCCACAAAATGACACTAGTGAAAATGGTGCACAGACCACACAAGGGGATGACGCAGACCTCACGAGGAAAGGGACTACAAGACCGGAGAGGTCTACAGGCAGTTAGGGAGCAATCTTTCCTTTCCTTCCACTCCTGAAATACTAAGTGGCAAGCTGATGCCATACCTGAAGTGTGTTCTGTCATGAACTGTGATGTACAAACTGTAAAATACACTGAATATGTTTTCCCTGCACAATCTCTTGTGTGCTGACCAACTGGCCCCAAATGCTAATCTTGGCAACTTCACTTATGTTATGGCAATCTGAGTCCCCAATTTTCCATTCTCAATATGAACAAAGTATCTGGCTTCCCAGTCACCAATCTCCATGCCTCGTCTAACCAGACCTGATCCCACTGTCAGTGACCCTCGTAAAACAAAGGTGTGATCATATTAACTCCTCTTTCTCACAAACCAGTAGTTCCTACTGCCTTTAAAATGATGACAATTTCTTCAAAACGTTTCAATTCTGATCGTCAACTTTTCAGTCTTATCTCCCATCACATTCTCTCTTTACATTCACACACCGCCAGACCATTCCTCACTCCTTGCCTTTCTCTCTACCTAGGAATACCCTTCCTCTCCAAAAATGCCTTAAAAAATATGCCTCCTCCGCGAAACCCTCATTTCCCCAATCAGTCCTTCCCTGTGTCCCTTCAGCATGGTCTTTGTTCCTCACACAACACTTACTTCAATCAGGCTGCCTAGACTCTGAGTGTCATCCATTTTTAGATCACTCCTCACTTCCAGCTTCTAACATAGGGTCTTAGACATATACGCACACATTAATTGATGGAATTAAATGAAATATATTACTAACTACCAAAGCAGGAAAAGAGACAACAGGATGTTGTAAATGAAATATGTTAGAAGTCTAACTTTACAGAGCATATTTGAAGTATCTTAGTTTCAAATGAAGTCCAAAGACATATTGGTGTATTAGCTATAAAAGCTAAATAAAAAAATTTCAAACCACAAAACCAGTACAAATCAATTTTCATTCACATAAAGTCAATGGACCTTTTGAGGAGCAACAGTAAAATAAATGTAGTACCTCAATTAACAAGAATGCATTAGTTACTCCATTTTATTTGGTGTCACTAGGGTATTATGGCTGGGTGGAAATTAAATTAACTCAACAATCCACACGGATGTCTGCTCTTGCCACCCAGTCTATCACTGGAGGCCTCTTCCTTGACTGTGATGAGGCAGAGAGCACCAGGTTGGCAATCACATCAGCTGATGGAGCAGCAGTGGTCAGGCAGAAGCTTGGCCCAGGCTATCCTTTCCTCAGAGCAGGGAAGCATGAATGCAGGCGAGGGGGGTGGGACCCTCATGGATATGAGCGTTATCTGGAGCAAGAGTTGAGCAAGATGGAGGAGTGTCACCACATGGAGACTGGGCACATGCAGCGACAGACCCTGACACCCACACAGCAGCCTGCCCAGTGTAGGCAAAGAGAACACCTGCATGGCAAAGCTGGAAATGCGCTCAGAGCTGAAATCCCTGGTTTGTTTTGAAACAGATCCTTTTAAAATACTTATTCGTGCCAAGTGGCCATGGTGGCTGCTCTCTCACATGGTTACAAAGAACTATAGGTTAAGGGCATTGAAGCAAATTCCCTTTTTAAAATAATGTTTCTCTAGCAAGTTCAAACACCAGAAAAGCAAGAGTAGGTAAACGAGAAAACCAGGGTGATAGTTTAGCCTCTTCACAGTTTGTATAAAATCCAAATCTAAGAGACCTGCCCTAGTACCCCTTTGATCTCAATCCATAGGAAATCTTAAAATTGCCCAGAAGAACTTTTTATCAAAAATTTATATTTTGTTTTCAATGAAAAACTCTTAATTTCATAATTTTCATATCACTTTTTTCTTTTTTATTTAAAATATTATAACCAATTAACATACTAGATAACATTGTTTACATTCCAGTGGTGCATGTTTAATGACTAGGGCATGAATGATTAAAAACCACAATAATTATCTCAGCATTCCCTACAAAGTGCCCCATTTGTTTTGTCTAGAGGAGGGGAGAGGAGAGGGAATGGAACACAGGGAAGAGAGAGGAAATGAAGAAGGAATGGCATCATATAGGGAGAAAAGCAAATGTCAATTATGATACTTGGGTTTCAGGTTTCAAAACCTGTTGAACAGGATAAACTATAATGAGAAAATAGATGTCACAGTCCAGGTAGACAGCTAGTTCAGTTTAACTTCATCATTCAGCTAAAAGATTAAGAGCTTCTCAAAAATATACCAAATATCGGGCCTACAAAAGTAATTTATTTCTTCGTAAAATTTACTAAGATTTATTCCTTTTGTAAAATGTAAAGAATGGACTGATATCACGAGCAGGTTTCTACTTACAAAAACAGACAGTAATTATGTCCAACGAGCACATCTAACACCATACTCCAAGATACACAGTGAAAGATTTTACAGGTGAGTCTCTCTTACCGATGCAAGGTATATATTTTACATACTTACTGGTATTGTGTCGACACTGGCTATGAAGTATTTAACACACATTTATAATTCACTCAGTGAAGATCTAACAGTTAAGGGCAACCGCTTACTTGGGAAAGCATAGAAAATTAGTGTGAGGTAGTTCAATAAAAACCTAGTTTAATTTGTAAGTTATTGTGAGAAAAAAACATTGTGCAAAACTAATCCACAGGTAGTATTTCTCAGAAGTTTCAGTAACAAAGAGAATCTAAATTAGAAATGGCCAGAATGTGTTACTCTTACTAGACTCTCCTTAAGAGCACTTAACTAAGAGCAGTTAGTTTGAAATTAATTAGGACTTTTGTTTTCCTTACCAGTTTTCTAATCGTACCCCAAACTACACATTTCTGCTTCAATGCCCTTATACATCTTCATCTTGCTTGCTATTAAGGAAAAATTAGTTTCCTCTGATTCGGGAAAAACCTAAGAGAGATCAGTAGAAACACAATGTATACTAAAATGTAAAGGATCCGGAGGCAACATTTAAGAGGTCTGCTAATGACAGAACAGTAGTGTTTGGTTTTTCTACCGGTTAAGAGTTTACTGGGGTCATGGGGCATCATGCATTCACTATACAGCTAATGTGTGACTAATGAACAACACTCACAAACAAACTACAACAGTATTTTTGAAAATAGACTATGTTTTTACCTCAAAATGTTGTCCAGGCTTGTGCCTAGGCAACAATGAGTAGTTACATCTTCATAGTGTAGCACATACTGGCCGACAGTGTACACCAAGTCTTATCTGTAACCCCAAACGGCTTCACTTGCCTGCTGCTGCTTTCACTATCAGATCATCCATGTCCTCTTCACCTTTACCTTTTTAGACAACACAGCAGGATTAGCATGGAACAAAATAATGAAAGGGCTTATGAGAAAGTCTGCTGCTTTACATATAATCAAGCTTCTTGATATCGTTAAGGGGTTTGTATGGTAGCCTTTTCACTTAAGAGGCTGGCATTTCTCTTAGGAAGTCTGGTGTGAATGCACTGTACCTTTACCAACTTGGAAGAGTGCATACCAGGAGCAATCAGCAGCCGAGGGTGTGTAACAAAATGAGAACTGTTCAGCGAACAGTATGAAGAGTTGAGATGCTTTGTTTATGTCTATTATAATTAAGCAATCCCAACAACACAATCATTTAACAAATAGTTTATATTAGAGGGTAACAGAACAGTAACCAGGAAGAAATATGTAGAAAGAATTATTGTCTCTTTCCTAACCTATAAACAGTATATCTTGGTCAAAGTAATTTTCTGACAGTAAGACCATGGGTATATTAAGTATATAAAGTTGAAAAAACAAAGTTATAAGATAAGCAAAGTGGCTTTACGTAAGTACTGCTTGACAGAAATCTTATTTGTAAATTTCTTTAAAAAAATGTTTAAGATGTTTTTAAAGGTTCAAAAGTAAAATACAAAGAACTAGCACATTTTTAATTTAATACAGTTAAGAGAAGAGGGAAGGTTGTATTTAGCTATTGCATTTTTAAAAACCCAGGACACGCAACACTTAGACTTTGTTTTCAGGATATAACAAGTATTTTAGTCTACATGACTAATAAGAGTTGATTTTCTCTGATCAACTGAAACATGCTGGTTGGCAAGTGGGAGCTGGCATTTACAACAAACAATACTGTAACAACACTTGGTTTTCCTTGCTTAACCAAAATCTGTATCAAGAGATGGCTTATCAGCGAGGAAACAGAAAATAAGGGAATCTTCTGAGAGCATGTCAGTTGTTAAAGTGCAATAGTGAAATAATCTATCCTATAGAAATAAAGCTAGTTAACTGTCAAACTAATAAAAACTAGGAACACATTCATGCTCAAATTTCTTCTGAAATTGTAAATCCAATCCTGTTTCTACAATTCAAGAGGTGTTATAGTCTTAAAACTTTAATTTGCCTAATTAATGTACCCTGTCATATCAGTAGAAAAGGGGTTAATAAAAAGGCTGCCAACTTCAAAAGAGGCTAGAAATCATCACTTTAAACCATCAAAGACAAACTTACTATTTCAAAGCATATAAAATGGCTATTAATGTATTTTAATCCTAAATATTGCACATTAACAATGACCTAAAATACCTTACTCAAAACGAATTTTGCACTGAATATATGAATAACATGCCAAGTGGACTTTCAGACGCTGCACGTTGAGCCGCACCAGTTCTTGCTCCTGCTGGTCATTAATTCCATTGGGCTTTCTGCCTAGAACCTTTAGCTTACTTAAGTATGCATTTCCCAGTTCATTACATGAAATGCCTCTTGTTCCAAAAATAACAAAAAGTGCCTGGGGCATTACAGACAACGTATTTCAGATATAATGAGACTTCAATGACATTTTACTTAAGAAAAATTCAGTTATAGAGAAATAATTCTGCAGATATAAAATGTAAACAGTTAACATACAACTGTCAGGAGCAGCACCATTCTTACACTGTTCAACATCCACATTGTGTGTTTTATTGAAAATCAGGTATAAAAAAATTAAAGACTCAGACTAAATAACCACCAATTATGCCTGCTCTACTCAATGTGAAGAAACAGTCCTTAGAAAATGATATCCTATATATGGCTGTGTGCTACTATTTTCAGATGAACGGTATATTGCTCATTTTATACATCACCTACAGAAATCTAAGTAGGCTTTGGAACCTCCCAACAGCTAGTATAAATATGATTATGCCACAGGTAGAATCAAATGGCCAGAAACACCCTGAGAACTGGTGCTCAACTGACTGACACTCTAGAAACCAAATAGGTCCAAGGGCCCGAGGCTGCAGGAAAGAGAAAGACCAGACTCTAAATCATTGCTGGGACCTACAGCCTGAGTAGATTAACTCAGTGTATATAAAAACAGGCTCATAGCTAGTAAAGGTGAACCATCTGTTTATTTCCATTGAAATGTATTATTCATGAAGTATCCTCTTGACTTTACGTGATCATAAGCTTTGAGCATGCCACAAATTTGCAGAAAACACCATATTCTCTTACTTTACTTTTGGTGGGTAGGATGGGGGATAGGAGGGTGGTGGTAGATGCCCAACATCTTCAAAGACATGCTCTGAGTTATTCTACCATTTAGATGATGGGGCTTTTGCCAAAATTCATGTAGGGTTACCTACCAATTGTTGTAACTACATTAGAATTGGCAAGTAGCAAATATTGGAGGTTTTTTTTAACACGTTCATCATTTACAGTAGTTATTCCTGAATATAACTGGCTACAGGTTATTTTCCCTCACTCCTCTGGGGTTATTTCATTGATAAGCACATAACCCTAAAGGATAGCATCATGAACAAAACATTTGAATAAATTCTAATAAAAAAACTATAAAAATCTTAAATAATTCATGATATAGGCAAGTCACCACATAATAGTTGCTTTGATAAACAAAATCTTACAAATTCAGTAAAAAAAAAAATCAGCAGCATAAGATAAAGCAAATATGCAAAAATTTTAAACCATGATAAAATAATTAGGTTTACATTATACAGTTAATTACAGCAAAAATACAGTTTTGTTGCTGTTTTAAAACACAACTTAAGTTTTAAATTACATCACTTGAAATTAAGAAAAAAACTACTTTACTACAAAATGAATTCTATGTTTTTGAAAAATCACTTGAAAATAAGACCACTGAATTGTTTTCAAAGTAGTTCTATCAATGACTAAACAACTCCCCATCCCTCCCACCCCCACAAGGCCCAAGTAGTCATCTACAGCAGCCCAGAGGTCCAGCTGATGCTTCTAGACTGCTGTCTGTATCCGAGGCCAAAGTCGGATCTGTTGACATTGAAGACACATCATTGACAGACGATGATGACGATGGATGCTGAGAGCCATTGATCACTGCTGCACCTGTGCTATGAGAAACAAAACAGCAAATCAGTTGCAGACAGAGTTGCAGACCGAGCTACTTGTACTGTACTGACCACCTCTAGTGGTCAATAATTTTTCTTTTGGTTTTAAAAGGCTCACTAAAAATAATCACAAGTGATATTCAACACAACACTAACAAACACTTTTCACTGCTAGCTACGAGGTAAGAATTCTGAAAACGTCTGGTAACCTGTCCTTTCTACTAATTTGTTTTTCATTTTCAGTTCAGGACAAGAATTATTAAGTCCAAGCCATAGTTAGAAATGGTCCTACGGCAAGACTCATGAATTGGCTTCAGACTGTGTGTGAATAACACTTAATAATACATGCAAAACTGTCTGCATTGCATTTTGTTGGAGAGAGGATCTCAAAGGAATGTATGACTCAAAGAGTTAAAAACTACTGCCCTAATAAATGTAAATTGGTGCAGCCACTGTGGAAAACAGTATGGAGGTTCCTCAAAAAACTAAAAAGAGAATTGCCATATGATCCAGCAATCCCACTCTTGGGCATATATCCAGACAAAAACTATACTTTGAAAAGATACATATACCCCAATGTTCACTGAAGCGCTATTTAAACAGCCAAAACATGGAAGCAACCTATATGTCCAACGACAGATGAATGGATAATGAAGATGTGGTACATATATACAATGGAATACTACTCAGCCATAAAAAAATAACAAAATAATGCCATTTGCAGCAACACGGATGGACCTAGAGATTACCATACTAAGTGAAGTAAGTCAGAAAGAGAAAGACAAATAACATATGACATCACTTATATGTGGAATCTAAAATATGACACAAATGAACTTATCTATGAAACAGAAACAGACTTACATAGAGAACAGACTTATGGTTGCCAAGCAGGAGGGGGTGGTGGGGGAGGGATGGATTGGGAGTCTGGGATTAGCAGATGCGAACTATTGTATATATGTATATCTGAATCACTTTGCTGTACACCAGAAACTAATGTAATGTTGTAAATCAACTATACTTCAATAAAATAAATTTTAAAAAAAACTACTGCCCTAATAAAAAATGCTCTGATATCTTCTCACTGTAAAGTCCAAACAATCATTCTGGTACATCTTGTTTTAAAGCAAAAGCCAAGACGAAGATTAAAATCATTTTAATTCAATGGATCCTCAGTTCAACTGCCCCATTTGTTTACGTGACTTGCCGAGCCACACAAGTGCCCCAGTTAGGTAAACTCAGGTCTTGTTATTTCAGTTCTAATAAGTACTTGGTAAATGCAAATATAGACTTATTAAACACGAAAGTAGGGGGAGACTGTTTCCTTTACCAAAAGTATAGCCTAACAAGCATTTCCTGGATTTTAAAAAGCAACAGGAATACTTAACCTATAGAAAAATCCTCTCAAGAGGGCTGGGTCAGGAAGGGAAGGGAATGACACCGTGGGGTTGGGAAAAGTTAAAGGTGATTCATGCACTAGGTAAGTGCTTTTGAACTACATGAGCACTAAATAAGAGTCATTTCAAATTTGAGTATATTAAATAACGCAAGTTATACAAAAGTTCCTAAGAACACATTCATGGAATAAAAACCAATGGTTTTCAAACTGAGCAATAAGAATAGGGGTGAGTTTCAGGGACCCAATGATGTTAAAACTAAGCAGGTTGAAAACCACTGTTCCAGAACGCAGCACCTCATTGTTTGAAATTATCCCTCCTTCGTGTCCAATGACAAGCAATAAAAACACCTAAATATGAAAGGTCCTCTGAAAACTTGTCTTCAAATCTAACAATGAAATAGCTAGGGAATGAGAATAGGCAAATCTTTAGGGCAGTGGGGCAGGGACTGGGAAACAGAAAGGAATGGAACCACAAGGGATAGAGCAGGTGATGGGAGGTACACTGGGAAAGAAAAGCAGACTGGGTACTTCAGGCCTAATAGAAGAGAGGAAAAGGAGAAATGTGATAACCTTCTATACCCAAGAACCCATTAGGCTCCCAGCCAGAGTGAAATGAAGATACCAAACTTTTAAAAGTTCAATTGGTACACTACAGAATGCACGTTTTCTGACTAAAGAGTATACAACATTATGGCTAGCTTCAAAGACCTGTACTGAAACATTCAAATCATAAAAGGGTTCTATATACTTTTTCATGCCTCTACTTCTTTATCCAAATTTTATTTCATCCAAATTTTTTAATCTAATAAAAATCATTTTTTTTCTCTTGAATTTTTATTTAAACATCTTTATTGGAGTATAATTGCTTTACAATGTTGTGTTTTAAATGCATCATAATTAAACAGTTAACTTTTTAATCTGAAAATCAAATACCTAAGGAAAAAAAACTTGTTTACTTCTGACCTTTAAAGTAATATATTGGGTTGGCCAAAAAGTTCATTCGGGTTTTTCCGTAAGTTACAGAAAAACCCAAACGAACTTTTGGGCCAAGCCAATAGTAAATTCTCAATATCCGGACAGCAATAATATGGAAAAATCTTTAATTTCAGATATCTGGGTCATTTCCCGCTCAGTGACTCTACACACTCAAAGGTATGCAAAATCATTTTAGTATTAGCCAAACCAAAATAAAGATAAGAGGCAATCCAGAGGGAAAAATATTTACTTTTTAAAATCAAGTCGAAATGGTATTGTGATTATCTGATATTCTGAGTCATCAAATACTTACCTTCTGTTTTTGCATATAATCAAGAACTGAATATTTTTATAACAGATTAATTTACTAACACTCTTCTTTGCCAGCTATAACTGAGAATCCAGAAAATGTCTAGAAACTTGCAGTCCTGTCCTTTCCACTGACTTATTTTGTAACCACAGTTAAGTGTTGTCTAGGATTCAAATTTTTCACTTATAAATTAAGAACAAACACAACTGCTCTATCTATCTCATGAGATTATTAAGTTTACTCAAACATTTGACACTTAGGATGTTCCATTCACTCGGACAGTATGCTAAAGTATAAAACTTCCCTAATAATGGACTTTTCAAATTCCATTCAAGCCTCCATCATGAACAATTCACTTATATGACTACTGTATATCAATACAAAGCTAATTAACTGAGTTATTAAAGCATTTATAAGATAGCTTTTGTTACAGCTAATTGTAGGTAAAAAGCTGTTGAAACCAATTTATGTTTTCAAGAGGATCTACATTAAAATTTGGAAGACTGCATTCTTGATCAAGGTTTAAAAAACAAAGAATTAAAAGAACTCAAAATATAACCAAAAATGTCATAGGAAGCTACAAAAATTATTTAAACAAATATATGTTTATAGTACAACAAAATGGGCACCTGAAACTATACCTATATATCTTACTTCATTGATGCTAAATATGATATCCTTTTTTTTCTTAGAATGTATAAGAATTTTAGAAGGATTAAAATGGCATAGTTTCATGCAAATTCAAGACCTACCTGTTGAAACCTTACTCAGCCTTCAAGGCTCAGCTCAAATTTAACCTCTTCCCTAAAACTGCCCTATTCTCTGTTGCCAGCCATATGGGATGCTGGAAAAACCATGCCCTCTGAAGTTACTGATAAACACAGCTTCAAGTATTGCTTTTCTACACAAAAGATTTGTAGTCTTACATCATTTAATTTTTCTAAACTTGTTTCCTCATCTGTAAAATGTGCACAACAACCCCTTCCTCAGGGTTCTGGGGGGCTGAATGAAACAAAATACAAAAACTATCAGTGTCTGTCATGTAGTATGTACTTAATATGTACATGTTACCTGTCATTTAACTTTTCCTTTAAATTCTTTATGCTTTAACAAGTACTAAAATTTAATATAAGATGAGCTTATGATAAAAGAAAATGTTTAACTCCTGCAAACCAATGTTCTTAAGAGCTAGAATACCTTCTGACAGCAGTTTTAATGCTACTGCCTTAAACAAATCAAAAATACCAAAATGAGAAAGAGGTATCATGTACAAAATTGGCATCCCGTACAGAATTTTGCCATGAAGTTTTAGTTTATTTATCCAAAGTAAGGACTGTTAAATCACAGAAAGGTCAATATACTGAATTGTGATAAATTTCTTCTTTAAAGACAACAATGCCAACAACCACCAAAAAACGTTTTAAATTTCTGTTCTTCAATGGGATGTCAGTATCAAAGAAAAAGAGATGCATTTTATGAAGTCAGTTACTGATATACTAGTACAATGTACTGATAGAACAGTGTACCAATGCTTTCAAATTTACCACAGAAATTGTATTCCTTATACTTAATAAACTTTGAATACGAATGGTACTAAGTATGGAAAGAACTGAAGGTTTCAGGCCACTGAAGACTACAACACAAGAAGTAAACTGTAATCTTAACTAAGCTTATATTGTAACCAACCTAAAGGAGAGGGTTGCCCCCGTATAACTCCATTCTTGGTTCTCTCCTCCAAGTCCATAACTTCTTTGTATATCAATTCTGAAAAAGAGGTGAACAAAAACTTTTCAAAGTCTGAGAGGCAATCTCCCAAGATATGTATGTTTTAAGTAAAAAATTTTTGCACACACTAAGTACTTCGAATGGTGTTCTTGCAATGGCAGAGGGTCCAGAAGTGTCAGCCTAAGATTCAAAGGTGTTAATAACAATTTCTTGATCCTCAACCATGAGTTATACTGAAAGAAGCAAAGTCTCTGCTGTAATATTCCAGAAGTTGGATTAAGATAGAGCTGGGGTTAGAAGCTTTATCTTTTTTACTCCACCAACACTTTGTACTATACCATATCATTCTGTACAGCAAATGCTAATTTAATTCTCTCAGTAAGGGCTTGAATCAAATTTGTCTTTAACTTCTATTTCCTGAGCCCTGGCATTGTACCTGGTACACTGCAGGTACTTACCCAGATATCTGTTAAAAGATTTAAATGCAAGAGTATGTGGAACCTTCTTTAATCAGAATAGAATATAAATATATTTTTATTAAAGGAAAAGAATCAGGTAACTATACTTTAACTCCTTCTGAGTTGAAGCATGGCATGCTATGACTGTCAATAATTTCTTCATGAGAATCTTGGTCTTTAACTAGGCTTCTGGACAGTGGGTGGACTGCTGGGAGGACTACTCCAACTGAAGAGTAACACCAGATCCTGCCCTGCAGTGTACGTGCCTCCTGCCCTGTATTCTTCTACATGATCCTGATGTCAAGTGTGATGTGCCTTATGAGTCTGAATGCTGACTTAAGAAGAACCTTCTGGTGGATCCTAACATTGCCATTATTCATCATCATCTCTGGGTCATAAAATCCTTTGAGAATTGTATAAAAGCAATGAACCCTCTTCTGAGAAAAATGTATAAACAAAAATTGTTGCACAGAATTTCAAGGAGTCTGTAATTCTTTACATTAAACTTTCAATAAATGATTTCTGATCACAGGGTATGGCAACATTTATGTTGATAATAAGGTAAAACAAGTGGATATGTTGGGATGAACAAGAGCTGGAGACACCTAAGTTTGCTTGCGATGGTAACCTACTTGGGCTGGGAAGAAGAAAAATAGCAAGTCTTGATAGAGGAAAGAATGGGAGATGCTTTTCTTTAAAGAAGCAAAAAGGAATGATAAGCATTCCGGATAGGAAGATTAAAAACAGAGAGAAAATACTCCTTTGGAAAATGGGACTGAGGCAGAAGAACCAAAGCTAATCAGGAGTACTAACTAGACAAAGCAATCTGTAGTTAATGGCTTTGGCAATGAATTTTTCTGTTATGATGCTAAAATTCTTAAGCAGATCTTGAAAAAGGGAGTTTGTAGGTAATTACTAAACGGCATTTGGGACTAGGAGAAAAAGATACAGAATAAAGATAAACATGCTTACAGTAATCAAAAATCCCAGATATAACCATATACAAATGAAAATACAATGTTTCACTGATTTTAAGATGTACTTTTTTCACAGTTTAATATCTTTGAAACTGGGTTGCATCTATAATCAATCGTGCAGTACAACTGGCATTGTTTCTTCTTTCTTAGTGGTACATACTAGTGTGTTTTACAATTGGTGGCCTATTAAGATTCCATGAAATACCATAAATGTTTATTGTAAATGTAATGATATATAAAAATATCAGGTTAGATACTTTAATACATACTCTGATCTATAGTTTCTATACTCCTGTATATTACATATATAGATGCACTAGGTGCTACCCAATTCTATCATTCTGGTGGGCTCTACAGAGTCTAACTGTATGTCTCCCAAAGTCGACTTAGCGAAAACTAATCTCTGGTTATTCCTAAGAAGAAAGAATCAAATTCATTCCTCCCAAATAAATCTGTAGATGGATTACATGCTCCGGTTTATATTGTTGCCTTCCAAGTATTTAGGTTCTTAGCTCTTAATAACATGTCTTCTGTCTACCTGATTTTAAGTGACTTGTCCAAAGTCATGTAGTTACAAAAGTGGTCAAAATATAAAATGACAACAATATAAATGTAGGCAAGCAGGATCTAAAAATTACCTGGCTGAACTGTCCCAGGGAATCTTTTAAAGAAAGAAATATTTTAACATTGCCATGACTTTCAAAGCATTATTAATGTTCAACCAAAGTAAAAAAATAAAACTATTAGATATGCAAAGATTAAAAATTAACTCACTCTGTTGGTGAGGGTGGGGGTAAAAGAGACATTCCCATAAAATGCTGATGGAAGTGTAAACTGCTACAATTTCTCTGGAGAGTAATCGGAAATAACTGAAAAATGTCCTTTGGCCCAGTGAATCTCCTTGTAGGATTTTTCTTACAGGCATGTTCTCAGATGTGCACAAGAACACTGCAGAGTTGTTTGTAACAAGAGACTAGACACAACTTAAATGCTCTTCAAATGGTTGTTAGATACAGAACCCGGTGACACAGGCGAACAGCAGATCACTAACCGGCTATTAAACCAAATGAGCCAGGTATATGGAGCAAGAGAGAATAATCTCTAAAATATACGGTTATATCAACAAAGCAAGTGTGCACTGTATACAACCATATGTGATTAAAACAGGGTGGGAGAGGAGAAGGGGGAGACATCAAACACACAAGTTTGTATTTTTGTAGACTATGGAAGAACATAAAAGTTCCAGAAAGCACAAATGTGTCTTTGTCTGGGGTGGGGAACAAAGACACTGGGATTAAGTCAGTGAGGGAAGGAGACATACTCTCTACTTTTGTAAAAATATTAAATCATATTATTAAATATCAGTTACGAATAATAGAAAATATCTTTCATTTCCCTAAAATGATGAATAAATCAACATAGAAAGCCAGAGCTCTTTCAGCTTCATCTTAAAGAATCTGGTGAATGTTACCTTTCCACTCTTCTATTGTGTGTTCCCTTTCATCTAACTGCTTGTCAGGTATCTTTGGTGGTGGCTGAAAAACAAGGCAACAATAATTGAGTCAGTTTATTGGGAGTATATAAATTGTTTACAATTATTTGAAATGTTAGCCAGACAGAAGGCTTGGAAAAATACATCATTAGGCCAAGATTGATCAATGATCAACACTGATCTCGCGTAGAGAGAACAGTGACAGGAAAAAAGATGTTTAGCCGTCTTTTTTCTTTTCTTCCTGTTTTTGAAATGGTTACATTTTATTTATATCATAGAATTGTGCTATGCTTTGGATATAATAATTTGTTTACAACTAAGTTAAGATGTTTTCCAAAAGTGCTCAACATTCTAGCTCAGCATACAAGGTATCACGGCAAAAAGGCAAGAAACAGTGGGGGGGAACTTTATTTTGTGTAGGAGGTACTTGGATATGTTCATTCTCTTAAGAAACTTTTCATGCAAAAACAGAAACACACCATCATCATTTATTTATATTTTTATTTAAAATTTTAAGATATCCTCCAAACCTAACTTTAATTCTAACTCTAAGGGTACAATATAGTCTTCACACATTAAAGAAAAGAACTTACAGCTTCTGCTTCAGAAGGATCATACCAGACGTTGATATATGGGTGCTGGAGAGCTTCATCTACAGAAATCCTTTTAGATGCATCAATTACCAGCATTTTAGATAACAAATCCCTTGCCTGACTGGCTGCAAAAATAATGAGACGTTAATGTACACGTATCTCATAAAAGCTTTAAAATTATCAATAAATTTCAGAAACTTGAAATTATCCTTTATTAAAAAATGTTTTAAACAGAATAGATTTACTATAAAATTAGGTCATACATATGATTAAAAAATATAAAATCACAAAAAAATAAATAAAAAGAACTAAAACCTCACACTGTTCCATTACCCAGAGACAATGTATGTCCCATGAGAATATGAATATACCCTCATAAACCCCCTCCACAACCACCCACCCACCCACCCACAATGGAATTAAAGATATATGTTTATAAAAAGTACCTTTAAGTTTATTGTGTTCCGAGTCAGCTGGGAAAAGTACATCAGGGAAGAGTTTCTCAAAGCTATATCCAGCATATTTAGGTCTGTTTTCAACATAAGTCCTTACTGTTGGTTGTAGTTTCTTCATGAATTCAGGACATGGTGTTCCAAGCTGTTCAATAACTTTATTCCACTGATCAATATCTAATATCAAGTAGCTAAGAAAAAATACTGTGTATCTAATGTTCAACATATTAGTCATATCCATATTAAAATAAGAAAATGGCAATTTAAAAATCCTAAGAAAGAATGTGGCAGTTATAAATCTTACAGCCACCTTGCAAAAGGCAATGATTGTAGGTGGACAAAAAGGATCAGTAAACAAGCTTTGTTAACCTTATTTATTATGTGCATGTGTGTGTCTACTAATACTAATTTTATCATAAAAATGGAAGCTTAAATTCTAAATTCTTATATTCTAAATACACAAATTCTAAATACAAATGATAAGTGGCTCAAAGAAAAATGACAATTACTACCCATAAGGACTCTAAATGTAAACTGTACATAATTTTAGAATACAAAATTTGCCTCTCCTTCCAGCTTATCAGAAAATGTGAATGCATTTCCGAGAAGATAGGAAATATTTATTACATGTCCTGCATTTTTTAAGTTTTCTACACTAACAGAAAACCAGTAGCAATAAAAATGATGGCATTTCCTTTTGCCATTCTTTGTTCAGCTTATGTTAGTAAAATTTTTTTAAAGCTCTGAAATTTAAGAAAATGACTCAGTATTTTGGTTAAGGTGTAAGGTTAGAATTCTCTGGTCTCTTTCCTTCCAATCTTTAGCGTTTACACCTCAAACTCCTCCCGGTGGACTAAGACCTAAAACTTTCTTATTGTAACCCAGTGAATATGGTTTTTCCCATTCCTCTTCCTAAAACAATTCTAAGTTTCACTAGCTGATAGACACATAACAGATCACTGTTATTACAAAGATTAGCAGTCAGTCAGATGAACAAAAATCATGACCCAAATCTACTCATCACCATGTAAAATTATTACTGCTGAAATTCTCAGATGAAAAGATCAGTATGTTATGTTGAGTAATGAGACAATAACCAAAAGACATAGAACACACAGCACATTAACAAAAAAGGAAGTGGGGAGGACAAAACAAAAGGATGACCAGAAGCAACAGACAATTCCAAAATTCATATTATGTCCTAAGTACTTCTAGACTTACTCAAGTGTATAATTATTAGAAAATTTAATACAAGCCATGACTTTTGATTTAGGTTAAATGAATCAACTCAAAGCCAGCAAATAATTGTGGATAATTAACCTGAGCAGTTTTCAGAATTAACATATGAAACAACAAATAAATTAGGGAAAGGAAAGTCTAAGTCAAATAGCAGGTGGTATTTTGAAAGAGTAATTTAACAATACTTTCTTATTAGGGAGAGACAAAATACATTATACCTGACCAAGCTGAAGTGCTGTCATACATTTTGACCTTTAGAAACTACATTTTAGGCCAAAGATAAGGATACGATCAGTACCTGGGAACAAAACACCACCTTTGATCATTTCTCCCATGATGCACCCAACTGACCAAATGTCAACTGAAAACAAAATGCAATGACATTAACATAAAGATTTTGGTTAAAATAAAAAAAAATATATAAACATTAAAAAAAATCACACACACCATGTATACTTCAAAATTATAGAAAGCAGTATAAAATAAAAATGAATGACAGTGAATGTGCTCTAACTACCAGCAGAGACTGTATTTCCTACTGCCAGATGCAGCCTACAAACATTTCAGCTTCGTATCTCAACAATTTTTGAACTATAACAGCCACAAACTTTACGTCTGTTTAAAAAAACCCACATGTATGAATGTACACTATATTCATTTTCATTAGAAAACATAAGGAAGTTCATCACCTAACTAATTAAACTGCTGCAGCAGCACAAGGATACAGTCCCTTCCTGGAAAGAGGATTTTGTGGCAAACCATTTCTCCCATAATGCACCCCACAGACCATAAATCCACTATATGTTTGCAGCACAAAAGAAGGAAAAGCAAAGCAAAAGGTCGTTAAAATCAAAGAAGCATAATATGACTGCATTATATAAAAACTGCAAAACATCACCAAAAGAAAAAAGTGATTTTAATTTTAGCTAATGGAATAATTTAAAACACAAAATATTTGTCAAAAGGCTTTGATTCACAAAAGCAAATGTGAAGTGTGGCGTTTTAACTACATATCTAATTTAAAGTGAGAGCTATGCACAGAAATCACATAATTTAAAAAACCTACACATTTTGCCCCTGAAAATTTATTTATAAAATATGAAAAAGAACCAAACACAAATCTTATAAGTAAGGCTGCAAATGTACATGAGGTAGCAAAATTTAAAAAATAAAATCTTTGTACTATTTTGAGGTTCAACTGTGCATTATACTCTCTCTTTAAATCAAATAAAAGAAAAAAGCATGAGCAGAAATAATCTAGTATATTAAAATACTTAACAGAAACAATGTTTCTATGAATAATTACAGTTTAAAAGTTAATCTAAAGCTCTTCAGAAATTTTCAAGTTGGAGTTAATAAATTCGTTTTGAGAGGTGCTATGTTTACTCTGAATTGAAGGTCATTTTTCTCCTTGGCAACACCGTGCTGCATTTACTCTACTATTCCAAAAGGAACAAGTGCATAGAGAACGAACAAATAATCAATTAAAAAAACTTAGTAAAAGAAGTATATTTCATGTTTTCCACCTAAAGTGTTTTAAACCCATAGAACCAAAACGCTTTTGGTTTAAGAAGTTGGTTTTGGCTGAATACAGTATGAGATTTCCCAAAGATTTATTATCTACAGAGTCTCCTAGTAGACTTACTGACCCTTGCCAACTTTAATTTTTTTCTTTTTTTTTGTTGGCCCCGCAGCATGCAGGATCTTAGTTCCCCGACCAGGATCAAACCCGTGCCCCCTGCGGTGGAAATGCGGAGTCTTAACCACTGGACCACCAGGGAAGTCCCATGACCCTTGTCAACTTTAAATGAGAGCTCTAGTCAATACTGAAAAGAATCTGCTAGACATAGAAATGGGCAATTTGAGGACCTCCACCTGTTTCATTAAAACTAACCACATACCCTGACATTTTATATCTTTGGGTTTGAAAATCAGACAAAAAGAGTAGGTGCTTGCAGTTTAATACAAGAGGAGAATGAGCAATTTGAAAGGAAAGCTTTAGAAACTTGCATTTGTTTTTGAAGTTTGAAGGCCCCAATTCTCTAATAGCAAAAGAAGAAAAGGGCAGGAATAGATGTTAGAAATATATCCTTTACCTAAATACAGGAGGACTTGGGAACTTAAAGTCAGTACTTTCTAATACACTCATAAGGAGACTGCCAGTTCATTACAGAATTTTAGGAGCTAGATTAGGAACAAATTTTAGAAATCCTGTGGAACTAAAGTTTCTCTAAAATTTCACATTAAAATACATACAAATCTTTTTATATTTATGGCATAGTTCAACTTTCAAGAATAAAATTTTAGAGGAAAAGTTAACATTCATAAATCAGTTCAGAGAAAAATTTTTTCCAGGGTTTTCATTTTTTGGCAAAAATCTATGAAAATAATTTTTCCCTGTGGACTTTATAGAGAATAGCAAGCTTTAGTTAAATATTCAGGACACAACTTATGTACATAATCTTAAGAAAAACATCTTAAAACAGATTTCAAAAGCTGCAAGCATGAGAGAAGATACTGTCTGGGATAATGAAGACTTTCCTCAGAATATGATAAGCCTGATTCATACATAAAGCAAGTTTTACAGGGTCTAACTGCTCAGTCTATTTGGCAGTTTAAATATATTCCATTATCTCACACTTTACAAAAAGCTTTGAGCCGGCTTTCAATAAAAGACATATAAAATAAAGTTGTTAAAACAGGTGGGGGTGGGTGAAAGGTGTTAATAAAAGGCAGAAGTTCTTATGTTTAACCTTGCTGGCTAATGTAGTTATCATAATTAAGCATTACATTTGACTCAGTTTCCTGGGGCCCAAAAAAAGAAAAAAAAAAGGCAATAAGGTAGATCTATATAATTCTTACCTAAGAAAGGAAAGCATGTCAATTCTTTACATGACAGTTATTCTTGGTGCTAATTTCTGGTAGGGAGCTCCCAAGATCACAATTATAAGAGAGAGTGCCACATTATACATTATCTGTGACAATCAATGGTTTTACAGCAAATACAAAAACAATCTTCACGCCGGTCACTTAAAGCAGCAATTCTCAAAAAAAAAAAAAAAAAAAAAAAAAGAGTCTAATACTAAATCTAACTCACTGGGTTTTACAGGGTATAAGGCAATTTTAGATAAAGAGTAAGACAACAGCATGTTTATTTAAGAACAAAAGAATAGTAGTAAATATTTAAAGTGTTTTTAATGAGCTCAGAAAAGAAAATTAAGCTAAAATCCTCAGTTCAATGTTATCTTTTATAAAAAAGAATCCCAAAAATTGACTTGATACAGTTTCCTGATTCAAAGTGAACTGTTGTTTTAGATTCTTTGCTAGAAAAAATGTCTAGGTCCTATTCTAGTAAGTATTTTGGATTAAGTTACCACATTTAAAAAGTTATAGTTTAAGTCAATAAAATCCTGTGTAGACTTATTCATCTCTTAAATGACTGAGATTCAACAAAATTTCTTAAGTATAAATATATGTATATTTATGCATAATTTTTTTTAAATTCATGAACTACATGCCTGATAATGTTCTTCAACCTTGATTCTAATGCTGATACATACAATTGACTATACTCGCACATAATAATGCCATTTCTTTAAGGCTGGACACAAGGTCTTTGATGAAACATTGTTTTCTCTGAAAGGCAACCTTAAATTAATTATCCATCAGCTATGCAGAATGGCTTTATTGCAGCCCTTAAAGTTTGCACTAAGTGCTACTGCTATTAACTTTAATGTCAAGTGTGCAAATATCATTAATGCAAACTTAAGATTTCTTGAACCCATGTTAGAATGCTCATTTTCAAGTTACAGGCAAGAAAATGGTATATATTCTGTTACAGGGGCCATGGCAACAAATTCTTTTTCTAATGGTAGTGTTGATGATTATGTATTTGTATTTAAATAAACAGGGGCCCCAAGTTTTTCCAAACATTTATGACAGAATTTGTAGTTACTTTCAAACTCCTGATAAACATCATTTCATACAGCGATACATTTAACTCTATGCACTTCAATTTAAGTATTTACATAAGAAATGTGATAAACAAAAGCAAATAAATCAGAACAGTATTTCAAGTAAATAGTGTTTGCTGACCGTTTTCTTTGTAGCCCATCCCTAGGATGACCTCAGGTGCTCTGTAGTAGCGAGTCACTACGTAAGGTGTCATCATAAAACTAGTTCCTGCAGTCCTGGCCAGTCCAAAGTCAAGAATCTTCAAAGTGCAGTCTGATTTTACTACTATATTACTGGGCTTTAAGTCCTTCAAAAATAAAAATTAAAAAAATGGCTGCTATGACATAAACAAATATTTTGCAGTCCACAAGTTATGAGATCACTTATAAAACAATTCATGGTTACTGTTCATTTTTCTCACTGTTATCACTGAACAGATTCATCATAATAGGCAAATCTGAGAAATTAGCTTGATGGCATTTTTAATTTATGAATATATACAGTTATTAGAAGTTAGTAATGCTTTATTTGCTAGAAATTATGATTAGCTAGAAACTTTCAATCAAGTGGTGTGAAAGCAATTTGGAAAGGCATCTCAAAGCTCATGTAAGAACTATAACAGTAAAAGTAAGAGAGAATCATAAAGTTAGCATTTATATGCACTTGTATACTAAATTACCAGCTTTTAAAAGATCCCATTTTAAAGTCAAAACAAGCTTTATATAGATACTATATACCAACAATGGGCCATTCTATGTCAACCCAAGCACATGTCACTTGACCTTTCAAACTGGCAGACGTTCAACTCTAAAGGATCGAAGTCAGTCCTTCCATCACTGATTTCCCACCCGAAATCGTACAAATTTGTTCATAAAATTTTTGACTGCCAGTTGAGGTAGGACACCATTGTCTTGGTGCCACTAATCCATAAAATTACTTGCTGTTGATGCTACCAAATGATGTCTTTGTGAAGAATTTCCCACCTGAACCCAACCTCAAGGAATTCTGTGCTACGATCATTAAAAGGCAGCAGCATAAACACTCATGGCTTCAAGTTCAACCCATGAACTTGTTAGCTCCCATGAATTCTATTATGAACCAAGAGACCAAAGAAAGCAGGAGTATGATTCACATACATTGAATACCAGTGATTGATGTAACACAAAATAAAGCTGGCCTGAAATAATTACTTTTGTAATGTCTATATCCAGAGAAGCATGTATGCTGTCTTTAGCATATTTTGATATGCAATCATGGATGGGTTAGGCGATATGTAATCTATAGGTTTTATCAAATTAAAAATAGGTATCAACAGGTTTATTGAAACAGAAAATGAAATTTTTCATTATTGCTATCCTGTAAATACGTTGTCACTATTTCCAAAATATAATATCTCTGCAAAGTAACACTGCGTGTTCAAAAATAAATATTATGAGCCTTGATACTATTTCAATGTCTATAGTGTTGGTTAGTGATTAATGGCTCTTCATACTACTGCATTCTAGTCTAGAAATAAGATTTCAACCTTAAACACTTTATTTTGGAAAGATTAAGAACAAAATGCAATTTTTAAAAAATAGACATCTTGTTAAGGAAAAGAAACTGTCAAAAAAGAATATCATCTAAATTCATCCTTGCATATCAAGATGTACCTTTCTACAGATGTTTAAGTTGCGTTGCTATCTATACCTGTGAAGAATAACTGAACTTGTATGAATGTGTGACAGAAGTAGTGGACTAACAATATTCCACCTTCTCTCCCACATTTTTCCAGCCTGTGATTAATTCTAGTCAATGGGATGTGAGTGGGAATCAAGAATAGAAGGGCCAGTGCATAACATCCTTTTGTCTCTTGCCCTGCTTTGGTGACTAGTAACATTCTAGATATTGAGCTGCTGAGCATCTATGTATGGCAGAGTCCTCATCCCACTAGGACCTGTACTGGACACATACTGTGGGAGATAAACCTTGGTTGTGTTAAGCCACTGAAAACTCAAGTGTTTATTTGTTAATAACCTAGTTGTGATATTGTGATTTATAATAAGAAAACCATATTTGGTCATTGCCCCAATTACTGGCACAGAGCTCCTAGAACCCTTGGAATTTCCTAAGTGATAAGAGCAATAAAGGTGAAAGGAGTGCTTTTTGTTATTCATAAGAAGTACCTTTCAACTACACCAGAGTTGACTTAATGAGGTTACTTCTGGAAAGTTCCAAAGGATGAGCCTGGTTGCCAGGGAACCAACAAAATAATTAGAGTGTTAAAACTTTCAGTCCCACAGGCCCCCAGACCACCTGGGAGGGGAGAGGGGCTAGAGACTGAGTTCAATCTCCAATGGCCAAAGATTTAATCAATCACGCCTATGTAATGAAGCCTCCATAAAAACCCAAAAGGACTGATACAGAGAGCTTCCGGTAAACACATGGAGGTGCTGGGAGAGTGGTGCACCCAGAGAGGGCTCGGAAGCTCCGTGCACCTTCCCACATACTTTGCCTTATGCATCTCTCCATTTGGCTGTTCCTGAGTTACATCCTTTGTAATTAACCAGTAATCCAGAAAGTAAAATGTTTTCCTGAGTTCTGTTAGGCACTCTAGCAAATTAACTGAATCTGAGGAGGCGGTTGTGGGAACCTCCAAATTATAGCCTGGGATTATGATTGGCATTTGAAGTTGGGGCAGTCTTGTGGGACTGAGCCCTTAACCTGGGGGATCTGAGGCTATTTCCAGGTAGACAGTGTCTACCTGGAATTGAGTAAAATTGTAGGATACCCAGGCTGGTGTCCAGAGAATCTGAGAACTGTTTGGTGTGGGAAAAACTACCTCACATCTGGTGTGAGAAGCATTATGGTAGTAGTGTGAGAGTAAAAGAGACACCTAAGAATGTTTTCCGTTATACTAGTCTATTCTGACTAACACTGAAATTGATGACAGGAGTACAGTGTTACTATTATAAACACAGGATCACAGCTTAGTAGTTGAGCAGCAGGCAGCAGGGAAACTAATATCAAAGGTTGGAAAGGTGATCCAGCTTATAGAGTAGCAAGACATTTCATGACACTGTCACCTACAATAACCTGGAAGGCACAGCACTTGCATAATGAACTTGAGCTCTAGAACAGGGGTTGGCAAATTAATGCCTGCCTGTTTTTGTCAAGAAAGTTTTATCAGAACACAGTCACACTCTCATTACCTACTGTCTATGGCTGCTTTTGTGTTACTATGATAAAGTTGAGAAGCTGTAACAGAGACTGTATCTTATCTGCAAAACCTAAGATATATACTATCTGGGCTTGCCTTTACAAAAAAGTCTGCTGACCCCTGCTCTAGAAGGAGATTGAAAAGCAAAACTTTAGTAGTGGGTATAGGTGGCTACTGGCTACAAATCAAAGAATTGGCCACTTCACAAGAAGAAATAAAAGGGAACAGAGAATCTAGAATTTCAAGGCCTTGCCATTCTGGGAAAGCTAAATGCTACTAGACCTTTCAAAAAGAAAAAAAAAAAGAAAAAATAGCGGGTTGCTCAGCAAATATCTCCGCCTCCTAACCCAATATACTTCTTCACCTTATTGATGGGCCTACACAGTAATTCTGGCCAATGGAATGTGAGGAAATGTGATGTTCATCAAATCTGAAGAGAAGTTTTAGATGTGCTTGACTGATTTAGCTTGGCTCTTGCCCTTCTTTCACCATAAGAAAAGGATGTGCCCCAGGGAGGCACTCCTTCAGCCTGGATGCTAAAACCTGGACATGAAACAAACCCTGAACCTGATCCCATGATCTGGAGCAGTGCCACACAGCCAACCTGCAGACCCCTGAGCAAGCAATAAATGTTGTTGTAAGCCACTGATATCTTGAATTTGTTTCTAATGCACCATTTTCACATAACAATTCTGAAAGCCTTTGATGGATGAAGACCTGAAAAATCTTTCAATTGATGAAAATACCTCAGACTTGCCAACAGAGGCCTAAAAACATAAAGGCAGACATTAAGTCCAAGAATATAGAGCCAGTGAGCTACCAGATGTGCTTTGAAAAGAACTGTAATTAAAAACATAAGAAGTCTCCTGAGTTTCTAAGAGAGATGTACCATTTAAAAAAAAAGAACTCCTTAAGGCTGTGACTGTTCTAGCCTTAAAACAATGGTTCTCAAATCAGGGCAATTTTGTTCCCAGGGGATATTTGTCAATGTCTAAAGACATTTTTGGTTGTCACAATTGGGGAGTACTACTGGCATCTCATGGGTAAAGGCCAGGAATGCTGCTAAACTTTCTACAATGTACAGGACAGCCCCTCAAAAGAAAGAATTATTCATCCAAAATGTCAATAGCGTCCAGGTTAAGGACTGTCTTAAAGTGACACTTGGGCCTCCAATCTTTAACAGATAGGAACCTGTGAAACAGGGGCAGCCCCCAATGAGAACACACTTTCCAATACCCACTTCAGATATACTCAAGAAGGCTAGCAGAAAAGACTCTCCACAGGGTGGAGCCAGGTACCACAGAGAAGAGTGGACAGAGTGCTCCTTGCAGAGATCAGATTCAGGGCCTAATCAAGGAGTAGTCTTCCCCACCACAAGGGCAAAAGAACGCTAACAATGTCTACACAACAGAATTACAAATTACAAATAAATAACGACTGCATTTTTCAATTTCCCAAATGGGATTGTTTATTGTAGTTACCCTGACCCTGTTTGACCACCACATCTAGGGAATGGGGGGAGGGGGAGGAGATGCAAGTGACCAGATAATTTGGTCATTTTAGTTCTAATATTTCTGGACCAAAAGAAGAAATATCTGGATTAATGTAGAGATTACTATGTATCACTTAGCACTAAATGCCTTGATAGGCTAGGACTCTGGGTTATCTTCCCTAAGGAGGGAGTGACTAGGTACTAGGTGTGGAATAAAGGAAGCAAAGGAATGCTTGATAAGCAGAGCAGAATGGCACAAACCATTCTGAAGACTGCCTCCCCCCATTTCCCAGTTCCCTTACAATTAGGCAGGTCCTTATGACTAGTTCTGCCCATGGCCTTAGACCCAGTACATTCCACCCAGCTTTTTCTTCCCCTGACACAGGGACCAGCAACTATCTAGATGCTGGAGGCTTATACAGCTTAGCTTGGATCTCTGAGCAAATATGTGGAACTCCATCCCCCATCCTGACTTGTACTGAACCCCTAAAGGATGAGAGCTCAGGTTATTTTATCAAGCAAGTAATCTCAGGCAAGCAGAGAGGGTAGGTAAGGGTAAGGGGAATTTAGGAGTAGAGCACAGAGGTGAGTATCAATTATGGCCTCAAGACCAGCTACAGAAATGGGTGCTATGGTTTATCCCATTAAACTTCTTGGAACTTGCTCAAGGAACAGACATCAAATAAAATCCTGGGAAAACAGTTTCCAGAGCTTACAGTATGAAAGAAGTAGGAACAAATGGCACCAGGGGTGGCCTATGGTGGGTGCTGTGATACCTGCTCTGAGCCTGGGTTTAGGACTGAGGCACTCTTTCTTCCAGGGGCTGGCAGTGTTGACTACTGACAGTTTTCAGCAAATCTCTCTCCAGGAAATGCCCTCAGCCACAGAGAGCCACTTTTTCCAAAGTCTGCTCTCCAAGACCAAGGTCTGCTTGAGTCACCAGTTGAGGCCTCTAGAGTGATTGCATCCAATTTCTCCCCTATGTCTATTTTTTACTTCCTTTACTCCCCACAGGTGTTGATCCTGAGGGGACTCCCCATTAAACTGCTTACATGTCAATATATCTCCATCCTTGAGTTTGTTTCCCAAACAGCCTGATCTAAGATAAAGGCATATTTTTCATCATAGGTAAAAGACCCCTAATGTGACTGTATTTGGAGATCAGGCCCTTATGGAGGTAATTAAGGTTAAATGAAGTCATGAGGGTGGGACCCCAATACAAAAGAACTGATGTCCTTATAGAAAAGAAAAAGACACCGAGCTTGCTCTCTCTTCCTGCATGCACAGAGGAAAGGGCATGTGAGGACACAGCAAGAAGGCAGCTATCTCCAAGCCAGGAAGAGAGATTTCACCAGAAACTGAATTTATTTGCACCTTGGTCCTGGACTTCTAACCTCCCAAACTGTGAGAAAATAAATTTCTGTTTTTAAAGCCACCCAGTCTGTGGTATTTTGTTATGGTACCCCAAACAGACTAATACAACCTAAGTAAATGGAAAGACATCCTGTGTTCATGAATCTGAATACTAAATATAGTTAAGATGGCAAAACTACCCAAGCAATGTACAGTCAATGAAACCCTTATTAAAATTCCAATGGACTTTTCTGCAGAAATGGAAAAGCTGATACTCAAATTCATGTGGAATCACAAGGGGCCCTGAATAGTCAAAATGATATTGAGAAAGAATAAAGTTGGTAGACTCACACTTTCCCATTTCAAAATTTACTACAAAGCTACAGTGATCAAAATAATGTGGTACTGATATAAGCACAGACACAAAGACCAATGGAATAGAGAACTAGGAGTCCAAAAATAAAACCATATGTCTACGGCCAACTGAATTTCAATAAGGGTGCCAAGACCATTCAATTAGAAAACAATAGTCTCTTTAATAAATGATGCTGGGATAACTGGATTTCCACAAGTGAAAGAATGAAGTTGGCACCTTATCTCATACCATATACAAAAATTAACTCAAAATGGGTCAAAGACCTAAATGTAAGAGCCAAAACTATAAAACTCTTGATGGAAAACTAAGGGTGAATCTTAATGACCTCAGATTTCACAATAGAGTCTTACATATGACACTAAAAGGACAAGCAACCAAAGAAAAAATAAACTGATTTTCATGAAAAGTAAAAACATCTACATATCAAAGGAGATCAAGGAAGTGAAAAAAACAACATACAAATTCGGAGAAAATATTTACAAATTACTTATCTGATAAGGGTCTAGTATTCAGAATATATAAAGAACTCTAATAACTCAACAACAAAGACAAACAACTCAATTAAAAAATGGGCAGAGCTTGAATAGACATTTCTCCCAAGAAGATATATAAACATCCAACAAACATGAAGAGATGCTCAATGTCATTAGAGAAATGCAAGTCAAAACCACAATGAGATGCCACTTCATACTCACTAGTTAATGGCTAGAATGAAAAAGTCATTAAGTATTAGCAAAGATTTGGGGAAGATGGAACTTTCATGCACTGTTGCTGGGAATGTAAAATGGTGTACCCACTGTGGAAAACAGTTTGTTCGTTCCTCAGAAAGTTAAATATGACCCCGCAATTCAACTCCAAGGTAGATACCCAAAAGAACTGAAAACAGGAACTCAAACAAATACCTGTACCTTAATGTTCATAACAGCACTATCCACAAAAGCTAAAAGGTGGAAATAACCCAAATGCCCATGAATGGATGAATGGATAAACAGAATGTGGTAAATACATACAACAGAATATTAATCAGTCATAAAAAGGAATGAACTACTGATATATGCTTCAATATGGGTGAACTTGAAAACACTATGCTAAGTTAAAGAAACCAGACACAAAAGGTCATATATTGTATGATTCCACCTATATGAAACATCCAGAAGAGGTATATCCATGGACACAGAAAGCAGACTGGTATATGCCAGGGGTTGGGGTGAGAGGGGAATGAGGAGCTACTGCCTAATGGGTAGGCAGTTTTCTTTTGGGGCAATGAATATATTTTGAAATCTGGTATCGGGAGTGGTTGCACAATGTTGTGAACGCACTAAATATCATTGAATTGTACACTTTAAGATGGTAAATTTTATGTTACATGAATTATACCTCTATGATTAGCAAAAGAATATGATAGTTTTTTCTACTAACCCGATGAATAATTCCAGCAGAGTGAAGGTGTTTGATTCCACACAGCATCTGATAGAGAAGGTAGGACATTCTTTCATGATCTAGTTCCATCTGAATCACTTGACAAAGATTTGCATCCATGAGCTCCATGACAATGTAACTTCACGGGTGAAAAAATATGACAGCTGAAGTATACAGTAACAATCGAAGAACAATGTATTAACAAAATTTTAATTATCACACTTACACATCTTGAAATTCTTCTAGGGATTTCTGTGGTGTAAAAACATTCAAAAGGCCAATTATCTGTGGCAAAAGCAGAGAAATAGGGAAATTAGAAATTCCTTAATAATATTTTCATTTGGGAACTGCAAATACATGGATTAAAAAAAAGCCACCTTCAGTGTAAAATTTTTCAAGTCTTATGTTCTAAGCTTAAGTAATCCCTTTTATTTTATATATTAAAACTTTATGGCCAGGGGTTGGGGGCAGGGAGGGAAGCAGACCACAGAGAATCTTAAGGGCAGTGACAATACCCTGAATGATACTATAATGGTAGATATATGTCATTGTACATTTATCCAAACCCATAGAATGTACAACACCAAAAGTGAACCCTAATGTAAACTATGGACTTTGGGTGATAAGGAGGTGTCAATGTAGGTTCACTGATTATAACAAATGCACCACTCTGGTGGGGGATGTTAATAATGCAGAAAGCTGTGCATGTGCGGGGGCAGGGGGTATATGGGAAATCTCTGTACCTTTCTCTCAATCTTGCTGTGCACCGAAAACTGCTCTAAAAAAACAGCCTTCACACACACACAATATCAACAGAAGAGCTCCACAAAATCCATTCCATTTATGAACATTCAATTATCAAGAACCTACATTATACAACCCTCTACATAATTTGTAAGCAAATCTTAAATACCTTCTGCCAGCTCTTACCCAACTCAATATTTCTATATAAGCTCAGCCCTTTTGCCCCCTGGTTTTTCATAATACTGCACTTCCCCAGTTTTCCTCATTTCCAGTCTATTCCACTAGTTTATCCATAGACATGCTCTCTTTCCCACTATTTTGTTTTAATCCTCCTCCTTTATCTGTACCCTTTTCTTGGGTGATACTATGTATGTCTTTTTCTCCAAACATCTCTATGGTGTTTTTCTAAATACTCATTAAAAGTCCTTGCTTAGTTTATGAGTCTCAGATTTTCACAGCTACCTCACATGAGGTCCCACAAAATAATATAAAATTGAACTCATTATCCTTCCAACCCAAACCCTTTACTTTTCCAGAGTGTCTTTTCTTTTACAATAGAAAGCTGAGAGTGATTTTTGACTTTTTTCAATATTTGTACCATAATAAATACTTAAAAGAATGCCATCCATTCTTTGTTAGTCTGAATTTCAACCTCTTCTTTTCATTTCCTGTGCCACTATTTATGCTGAGGATTCTAACATCTCATCTAGACTGTTCATGCTATAATAACTTCTAACACTTGGTTCCCTAACAACGGTTTTCTGCAAATCCAGCTACCATTTTACTGCTTATAATATATGGTAATGAAAAGACCTGATCATATTACTCACCTTCTCAAAAACCTAATGCCACCAAAAAAAAAGCCAAAACTCCCTTGTAGTACATTCAAAGCCCTCCATAACAGAATACCAACCCACTTCTTCTCTTGCTAAGCCCTCTATTAAACTTGACACTTGAGCAAGAATATTGTTTTCAAAAAACTGTCAAGGCCTTTAAACATACTATTCCCTATGTTGGTCATTTAACTACGAAACTACTGAACAAACCTGCAAGATAGGCCTCTTTTGTAGGGTCTGACAACCCCTAGTCCTTGACAGACCTGAATATTCTACTTTGTCCCCACGATATCTTATATGTTATTATGGCATTTAACACACCGTAGTATAGTCTCCCTTTCACAACAGCCTCTTATTCCCCTTTACAATTCCAGCGTTCAGGAAAACACCTCACACATATTTTTGAAATGTCTGTTGACAATTAGGAATGGGAATGTTTTTCTAGACATAAACTTCATGAGAGCAGAATCCATGTTACTCATTTAAGCATAAAGCTTTGCTTATAGAAGGCATTCAAATATATGTTCAGTGAATAAATTCAGAAAAGTACTTTTCAGATCAGAGAGGGTAAAACAAATTTGTTTAAGACAGAGGAATAAGTATCTAGTTGTTCTAAATGAATTCATGTCTCCTAACCAGATGAACTGTACACTTGGAGACTTGGAGAATTAGTAAAACCATTCTCATTAACATCTGGGAAATCCCACAGTAGAAGACAGGTGTTAAAGATGAAAGGCATACAGAGACAGAAAGGAGATTAGCAGTTGCTTAGAACTAAGGAATATGGGAGATGGGGGAATGAGAGCTAAAGGAATGGCGTCTCTGAGGTGATGAAGATGTTCTAGAACTGACTGTGGTGACAGTCACATATATCAGTGAATATACTAAAAACCACTGAATTAAATGGATTAGTTGTATAGTATGTGAATTGTATCATAAGAAAGCTGTTATATAAAAAAAGATTAAAAGGGACAGTTGTCTTGCTTCTCAAAAAGAGAAATAAAGAAAATTACATCAGTCATATACTGGACAAACAAAAGTCAAGGACTGATTAAGTGGATGGTATATGACTACTTTAAAAGAAGTAAAAATTACTAGGAACACGTAAAAATTCACTGGGAAACTTTATACTTCTGTGAATAAAAACAACAACAGCAATAGTAAGAACAGCAGCAGATCAGAGAAATGCAACCAGATATATGAAGATTTCAAAAAGGCATTTTTGAAAATGTCACTAATAACAATATCCTTGTGAATAGGTTGAAGAATTGGGAGATATGGGCAATTTTTATAGTTAGAGATGTAATTTTTGCAGGTTGCTAATGAACTAATCCAACTATTATGAAGGCATCCTGAGCAAAACTGGTAAGTGAAGCCAACAAGTGAAAAATACGAACAAAGAAGAAAGCAATCCCCAACAGTCTAGTAAGAGGAGCCAGATTTCACATATGAAACTGAATAGGAAGATACAGAAAGCACTACACTAAAGAATGGGAAAGACCTGTTAGCTGGTCTATGACAAAGAATAACTTGCTTATTAGATAATGTGAGTCAAATGGTGACCAGATTTCCAAACAGGATTACAATGTCCACAGTTAAGAGATGACATGCCTCAGCTCCTCTCAGAAGATTCAATCAGACATGCGCTACTGTGTACCAGGTGACATATCCAAGTGCATTCAGAGATAAGTGACCAAGTTGAAAAGGAAACTCAAAACCATCTATGAAGAGTGGAAAATGCACAATACGAATGTACTTAGTACTACTGAATTGTGCATTTAAAAATGGTTAAGATAGTAAGTTTTACTGTTATTGTATTTTACCTCAATTAAAAAAAAAAGAAGAAGGGAATGGGAAAAACCAGAGATGTTTAGACCAATGAAGAGATGATTTGCACAAAAAGGCAAGACATTACAAAAGCATCCAACCATCAGGGAGTGGAAAAATTCCATTACCATTCCTCTTTTCCCTATCTTTATTCACATTCATTCACTGAACAATTCACTGAAAAAGTTATGTTTCGAGCACCTATTCCGTGCAAGCACTCTTCTAGGTGCCAAGGGTATTACCTGGATGAATCTGTGCCACCTCCACTAAAGGGTTACTCATGTGAAACAAGCTTTCCATGCCCTCCATTTAGTTGACAGAACCACCTTTCTTTGCAGTCACCCAGGCTCAGGAGGTAGGTGTCACTGGCCATCTCTCCCCAATGCAAAACCAAGGTAATGCCACCACGACATTGCCACGAAACAGGCTCCAAGGGGTACGAGCAGTTCTATTACAGGGCAGGAGGCCACCAGCAAAATCTTGACAAGCAACATACTTGGCTCCCATCTAGAACAAGAATGGCTGACGCAACTTCTTCCCGATCACTGACTGACTGTAATCTTTATCTCTAGGCCTTTTTTTTTTTCTGGTTAATAAAATAAGTTTATTTATATATACATGGTAGCTGAATTCTGTGGATAAGGAAAAATAAGTCATACATCTCACATATGTATATATAACATATGTATCTCTGATTACATATATTATATATAAATTTTACTTTTCAAACAGATTTCTTTCTCTATATACACACACACATTGATATTTTAAATGCAATCACCGACAGAAATATTATGATAAGACAACTTAACATGAGTTCGGTGATTGTCTCTATGCCTCTTTTTAAATACTATTCCTCCTCTCGGAGGCTCCCTTCCTTCAATAACCCAATTTTTACCCCATCTTTAAGAAATAGTCTAGGTCCACCCTTCCCCAAAGCTGTCCCGTTTCATTCAAGCTCACAACAATCTTCTTTCTCCTTAAATCTCAACACTTATTTTCCATCTGCCATAATTCTTTTTGAATTTTATTGAATTTTTTTATACAGCAGGTTCTTATTAGTTATCCATTTTATACATATTAGTGTATACATGTCAATCCCAATCTCCCAATTCATCACACCCACCCCGCCACTTTCCCCCCTTGGTGTCCATACGTTTGTTCTCTACATCTGTGTCTCTACTTCTGCCATGCAAACCGGTTCATCTGTACCATTTTTCTAGGTTCCACATATATGTGTTAATATACGATATTTGGTTTTCTCTTTCTGACTTACTTCACTCTGTATGACAGTCTCTAGAGCCAACCACGTCTCTACAAATGACCCAATTTCATTCCCTTTTATGGCTGAGAAATATTCCATTGTATGTATGTACCATATCTTCTTTATCCATTCGTCTGTCGACGGACATTTAGGTTGCTTCCATGACCTGGCTATTGTAAATAGTGCTGCAATGAACTTTGGGGTGCATGTGACTTATTGAACTATGGTTTTCTCTGGCTATATGCCCAGTAGTGAGATTACTGGGTCATATGGTAATTCTACTTTTAGTTTTTTAAGGAACCTCCATACTGTTCTCCATAGTGGCTGTATAAATTTACATTCCCACCAACAGTGCAAGAGAGTTCCCTTTTCTCCACACCCTCTCCAGCATTTGTTGTTTGTAGATTTTCTGATGTGAGGTGATATACCTCATTGTAGTTTTGATTTGCATTTCTCTAATAGTGATGTTGAGCAGATTTTCATGTGCTTCTTGGCCATCTGTATGTCTTCTTTGGAGAAATCTCTATTTAGGTCTTCAGCCCATTTTTTGATTGGGTTGTTTGTTTTTTTAATATTGAGCTGCATGAGCTGTTTATACTTTGTTAATTTGTTTG